GAGAACAAGGGTTTAAAGGGGTTTGATTCAGACGAAAGGGAGGATATTTTAGCGGATTTGGAACGCTTCTAGAGGCTACGACGCTGACCCTGACGATTATCGCGATCTGTAGCCTCGGCGTATTTTTTTGGTTTTTTTTCAGCAATTCCACTCGTGAACCATGGTTCACGACTGAATTTTTTTCCTTCCTCTGTCAGGTACTTTTGAGAGAGCTGGGACAGCTCTCTAAGGGGGTAGTGTGACAGCCTGCCTTGTTACTTGCAGTCAGCTGATCACCCATTCAGGCTTAGCGCCTGTGGCCATGTATATAGACCTTCCTGAGCTCTCCTGAGCTTCCTGTTTTCCTCTCCTCACTTTGTATTCTAAGGTCAGAATTCATCAGTTCGTCACATCATGTACGCTTTTTTTAAGATACGTAACTTCTATTTAAAACACAAAGAGCTCTTCGGCTTTCTCGCGAAGCTTTTCGAATAGATCAAGGCTTATTCGAACGGTATTAATGACTACGATTACTTAAGTAGTAATAAAGCAATAGATAGACGCTCGAAGACGAGCTTTTTTCGGACGAAGAAGTAGTGTAACGATACGCTAAGTCTTTTAAACGCACTTTATATGCGCTAAGCTACTTCTTTCTTTTTTTCTTTCGTATTCTTCGTATTCTCTTATTCCTCGCTTTTGACTTATAAACTATAGTTCACGAGTCTTTAGCGCTTTTACTTTCGTATATATAAACCTCAGCTACCTTCGACCTTTACATTCGGTAGTTATTAATTCTAAGTCATTACTTTGAGATTCTCTTAAGCTCTTATGTGAACCCCGCGCTCCCGTGAGTTCCTTCAGGTAATCGCTTAAGGTCGTCACATAAGCTTTCGAATAATCACCGGTTTATTATCGCGCTTTATCGGATACGCTAATAATATATTTATTAATATCGAAAGTACTACGATTCGTACTCGATTTTACGTTATAGATTCGTTAAAGTTTCGATTTATATTCGATTACTTTTTTATACGTAAAGCAAAAATCGGTCTTCGATACTTTTCGGATTATAAAAGTAGCTTTATTATTATTATAATTATTAATCCGTCTACGAGCTAAGTTACTTAAGCTAAAGTAAGCGATAAAACGAATCAATACGACGAAGCCGTCGATCGCTTAAAAGAGCAGAGTATAAGCTTTATCTATTACGATAAGTCTTTTAATAGCAGCGGCAGCGACTCGGAAAACTAATAATCGGCTTCGTTAAAAGCGCTAAAGTCGGTATATTAAAAACTTCTTGCTTTTCGCTTAGTTTTAAAAGCGAAACGTTGCAGCATCGAAGAAAAAACGACTTTATTATTTAAAAGCAGTTTATCGATATTTTTGCTTTTACGGAATACGACTTTTTAATAACTTGTTAAATAGATGCTATTAGCATCGATAGCTTTATAATCCGCTATTACGATTATATCGACTATTAGAATTCGACACTTTATCGGATTCGAAAAAAGATCTTTTCGGATTCGGTTAAAGTATTCGGTATATATAAGACTAAAGATAAAAAGATCAAGCTAATTGACGAAGCAGACGGCGTAAGAGTAGCATTAAGTAGCAAGGTTGATTAGTATAAGCTATCGAAGGCTAAAGATACGTTATAAAAGCAAGTAAAAGAATACAAGCAATATCTTCTTTCGCGTATTACCGATATATTAAAAGGCTTTCGAATTATATTCGAACGCATAGCGAACTTAAATGTCGGTAATATACTACAGCTTAAAGAAAAAGATTTGTTTAAAAAAATAATATTAAACAAAGAAAAATCAATCGCATTCGCTTAATAAAAGTGCGGTAAGTTCTACGACGACGTTTTACTATCGATTAAGCTTAAAACCATCTTATATACGGCTTAGCAAGCTCTTAACTATTCGTGTCCGAAAGCTTTACAACTTATTATTATTAAAATGCTCCAAGATAAGCTTAATAAAAGAGTTTTAAAGTATTGCGAAAGACCGTATCGGAATCAATAGTTCTTAATAGCTAAAAAACAGCCGGGCCAATACCGACTCATTAACTTAGCAACCTTACTTAATGCAATTATACGGAAGGACGCTAATCTACTTTTAACTATAAATGAGTTTGCTAAAGAATTTTTTAATTATTAAATAGCTAGCTTAATCGACCTTTATTTAAGCTTTATCGTTTCTTTTGTTACTGTATTTGATCACGGCAAAGGGAAACTCAATATCGAGAACGGCTTTTTATATTTGGTAGGGACGCTTTGGGCTAAGCTTGCTAAGCGTTTTCTTCTGATCTGGCCAGCTGCTTTGCTAGTCTAAACTAGCTTATTCGCTTTGAATAAACTAGCTTTGAAGGAGAACTAGTAGAAAATTAAGGCTAAGCTAGGCTTTTAGCTACGCACTTTAGCTTGTAGAGTTAAAGGCATAAACTAATTTATTAAAAAAAGAAAAGGACGGTGGTTAGGTTCGCAAAAATCTTTATTAAAGTTTAATGACTTGAAGTAGTAAAACTAACGAGGTTCACACTTAATATTAAAAGGAATCGAGTCGATTCGCTTAGCTTTAATATTCACTTATAAACTTATCTATTTTATTGTTTCTTTTGTTATTGTATTTGATCACGGCAAAAGGAAACTTAATATCGAGAACGGCTCTTTATATTTAATAAGAACGCTTTAGGCTAAGCTTGCTAAGCGTTTTCTTTTGTGTTGGATCGCCGGTAGCGATCTCTCGTAATAATTCGTAAAAGTCGTGACGTCGTCAAAGTACTTGCAATTGCAAAACACTCGGTGGTAAAAATACTCAATTGTTGCTTGTTGTTCTTGTTTTTGTTTTAAGAGAGCTGACTCTTTCTATACAATAGGAAGGAGTCACGTGTACTAGCTAAATACTAGGTTTACAAGCAGGTTGGGGGGCCTCTTGACCTGTGACAGGCTAAGCGAGGTATGCTTAGTGACCCGTGAACCTTGGTTCACGAGTGAGCTCCCCTTAACTACTATTTACTAGCTAAGGTCGATATAAATGAACCGACACCGGCAAAACTTTCTTTGGCAAACAGTGCTTTGCTAACTATTATATCGACCGAAAAAAAAAGGTATTGAATAGAAAAATGAGATACAAAGGAGAAGGAATAAAGAAAAAAAAAAATTCAAACGCAAGGAACAAAGAGAAAAAAAACTTTTCTTGAAACAAATCCTTTCTTTTTCTAAACCCCGTCATCTTGCGAAGTGCTTATAGTGCTCTCTTCCGTATTGGCAGCCTTGAATAAAACACTCGTACTCGTTCTCAAGGTCGTCGGAATCAGCCTTGCTTGAGGTTTGCTGAAGGGAGGTCTGAGGAGAGTGCTGAGAAGAATGCTGAGAGGAGTGCTGAAGAGAGTGCTGAAAGGAGTGCTGAGAAGAGTGCTGAGACTGATCAAATGGCTCGTCTTAAGAGGTTGAATGCTCTCAGTTGCAAAACCAATTGCTCGGCGAATGTCAGCAATTGCGGCGGTAGAGGTAGAAGCAGGGTTCATTCGCGCAATGGTCGTCTCTGGCACGTTTTTACAAGCTGAATACAGCTTGTCGGCAAGACTTTTATCGTCCTTTAGACTTGGCCGAAGAGCTCTTTGCATTGCTCTTAGCTCCTTTTCGAGCTTTTCAAAGCATTCAGCTAACGAATTAGCTGGATTTTCCTTCCGAATCAGCTCTAAAGAAAGCTCTTTTTACCGATCGTATTTAGCTTGGCGTCGGTGTTCAGTCTTAAAGTAATCTTTGATTGCTATAGCGTTCTCTTTGAAAGTAGGAAGTTGAGCTTTGATCACGTAGTTGTAATAAAACCCAATTGCCTCTTCGGCGAGCATAATCGGGAAAGCAGCTAAGTAATCATCGGTTGTTAACCCGTATCGGCACGCGTGATCGGCAAAAATCTTGAGCCGAGTATTGAAATCGTTTTTCGGCCTTGAATACTTAAGCTCCTTTGGAAAACTCTTTGCAAATAGAGCTAACTCTTTCGCTTTTGGGTGAGGGTCTGCCGTTCCGAGCTCAGGAAAATCGTCGTCGTCAGGGGCTGGGGTGCCGTAGGTGTGCCTGGCTAGCACTCGGGTCGAAAAAGGGGTGCTGGTAGGGGGTCGGTTTGGCCCGGGTCCGCCGGGGGGTTCGTATCCTCGTCCAGGGTCTCGTCCAGGGTCCCTTGGCGGCTCATTTCCTTGTCCCTTTGTCGGGCCACCGTGTCCTCCTCCTTTTCTTCCGTGCCTATCCCACTCGTTTCCCCTTCTATTCCCTCCTTCTGGATCACCGTCCGAGCTATCTGGATCGCTAAGGTCGTTAGCAGGAGCTTGCTCTCTTTTCTGCTCGTATCCTTGGGCTCGGCCTTGGCGGTATCCATTGCCCTGGTCTTGCTGCGAACCAAATCGAAGATCCTTACGTTGTCTTTGGTAAGAGGAAAATTTTTCTTGAATCTGAGGGTCGTTATACTCCTTCGCGTATTCTTTCGGTGACAAAATCGCTGGCTGGAGTAGTAAAGGAACAGGAGAAGGGAGTGAATCGCGAGAACTTCGCCTTGATGACGATTGCCTTGCTGCCTTGAGCTCCTCTTTGTGCCTTGTAGCCTCTTCGATTCTCTCTTTACGCTGTTGCGCGTCCTTCGTAATCGTTAAATTGCGTAGATCATCGAGGTCACGAGCAATAGCGTTATTTCGGCGCTGGAGTTCCTCGTTCCGTAGTATTTGCTTTTGAAGTTCCTCGTTTTCCTCTTTTCGGAGTGATTGGCGAGGCGAATTTGGAGTTGAGGGTAGAGGTTCGTCGATGACTTTGGTGAGACGAATAAGGCCTGATTGAGGAAACCTTTCGACCTGTTTACCTTGAATTTTGGCGACTTCCTCAGTTTGTCGATTAAGGCGTGCAATAGTAACCTCGTTCCACCTAGAATCAAATCCCTCGATTGCTGCCTGCTGCGCTCGCTGTTCCTCCCAGGTCCATTGGTGCTCCTCCTTTATTTGTATGATTGAGGCTAGTCCATTGGCGTAGCTTTTTTGCCTTGGGAGGCACCAAACTCCTTTAGACAATAGGTAATCTTTTAGCTTAATAAGCAACGTAAATTTGCTTCTTCGGTGGCCGTGAGCTTGTTTGGCGGCCAACGAAAACTCGTCCGCGCTTTATCTAGCAAAGGCGTGTCGGAATAAAGACTAAAGCTCGTGGTCTCTTAATCCCTCACTCTTTATGTCCAGGAAGTCTTCGATAATTAATCTAGCCTTTGTGTGACTCTCTGGCTTCGAATACGGTAGTGAATCGAGGTCAAAATCGAGGTCCGACGTATCTTCGTTTATATCGCCGAAGGTAGTTTGAGTGCTTGGATTAAGAGGTTGTGCCGGTAATCTGAGAGGAAGATCCGCACGCGTCGTAGAGATTCGAGGTGCTTGAATCTCTGTTGTTTGAGCTCTTGCTGACGTTCTAGAAGCTCTTTGTATATTCTCGTTGCCTCGGGGATCGATTGACTGCATGTTGCTTAATTGAGGTTCCTTTGGCTTCGAAGGGCGTATTATTATGCTGTGTGTAGCTAGCGTGGCTCTACAGCGTTGATAGGTTGTATATAAGTGACTTGGTTCGGAATCACTCTTCCGTAGAAAATGAGGTATTCGAAGTGTAAGAAAGCGACTTGGTACGGAATCGCTCTTCCGTAGAAAGGTGTAAAGGTATCGAAGTGTTTGAATAATGATTTTCACTGCGGTTGCAGGCTTCTTATAGCGCAAACTCATCACTTCTACACTTTTCGAGTAAGTAGAAGTAAAGTCCCAATTCTTCGATCGATCCTAGCTTCTTTGTGATTGAGTAATGCTATTGGCGATTAAACAATCACTGATCAGTGTTAGATCGCCGGTAGCGATCTCTCGTAATAATTCGTAAAAGTCGTAACGTCGTTAAAGTACTTGCAATTGCAAAACACTCGGTGGTAAAAATACTCAATTGTTGCTTGTTGTTCTTGTTTTTGTTCTAAGAGAGCTGACTCCTTCTATACAATAGGAAGGAGTCACGTGTACTAGCTAAATACTAGGTTTACAAGCAGGTTGGGGGGGCCCCTTGACCTGTGACAGGCTAAGCGAGGCATGCCTAGTGACCCGTGAACCCTGGTTCACGAGTGAGCTCCCCCCAACTACTATTTACTAGCTAAGGTCGATATAAATGAACCGACATTTTGATCTGGCCAGTTGCTTTGTTGGTTTAAACTAGCTTATTCGCTTTGAATAAACTAGTTTTAAAAGAGAATTAATAGAAAATCAAGGTTAAGCTAAGCTTTTACTTAAAAGCAAAGGTAGCGCGAGCAGCGCGGCTTGCTAATTGTCTTTAAATAAAGAGTGTTGTTATGATTGCTCGGTTAAAGATAGTTTGCAGATGTGTAGATGACCGGGCACGATCTGCTTGTAAAGAAACGATGGTTAAGAACTAGCTTATAGCGCAAGCTGATATAAAAGTAGCTTTTGAAAGCATTTGAAAATTATCTTTTTAATCGCTAGATATCGTATTTTATCATTTCGTTGTTTGCAGCGTGTTATGCAACGCTTCGGCGGGAGTTGTGGCTCGAGTATAGCTTTTAGTTTTTAAAGCTTACGCGGCGGAGCTTTTGCCGCATGTTATTAATGTATTTTGCTTTGTTAAAGGTTTCGGAAAAGGTTCGAAACAAAAAGGACTTTGCTAGTCGAAGGTCGAGTGCAAATAAAGCTCTTAAAGCAATAATTAGATAGGTTTTGTTATTAGTCTGCGTTAAGACTATTTCTACTTCGGTGTGATCGGTGTTTGATTTACTATTTCGTAAGTGCAAGATTGCGTGCTCTTCTTCGAATGTAATATCGCGGCGCTAAAGCTTTGTGGCCTCGAAAACGCTCGTATTAAAAAGGTCTGCTATTTCGCAAGTGACTTCTTTAATGCGCAAGAAGCTTGCAAAAGCTACTTTAAGAGTTGTGTCGTAATATAGCTAATCGAAGGCTTTGTCTATAAAAGAGGTTTCGATATCTTCTTAATCGTATTCGCAAAGGATCGAGAGAGCAAGAGCGGTGATAGCTTCGAGTTGTTTTATTAAAAGAAGCGAAGCCTTTTTCTTGACCTCTTTTCTTTATAGTAAAGTGATCTCGAAGATCACTTTGCGTAAGTAATCGGTATTAAAGCTATTAACAAGAAGATAACGCTCGACGTAAGCAGATCTTATAGCGGCGAAAGCTACTTTAATAGATTCGGCTTTAAGTAGTCTTTGACCGATAGTACCGAAGGCTTTAATCGTAATCTATTCCGCTAAATCGTAATCTTTTGCGCTACTTTTAAAGTAACCGTTTATTCTTAAAATAGCAAGAGCGAAGTTCTTTTAAAAGCGTTAGTACGACTTGTAAGTGTTCTTCGTATTAAAAGCGACCTCGTAATAAAAAAACTTTTTAATTAATTTCGAAGCGCTAGCTTTGTAAATAAATTCGAGCGGAAGTTTAGCGTATAAAATAAGTTAAGAAGCTATTAAAGATAAATATTAGCTACGAGCTTTACTTTATTGCATAAGAGCGCGTCGGCTAGTTTATTATCGATTTCCGGTAAATAAACTGCTTCGATAAGCAGATCTAGTTGTGCCGTTAAGAGTAAAAGGCTTCTTAAAAGCTCGTTTTGCTCGAGAGACTTAAAGGTGAGCTTTTTTACTTCGAGTTAAGTCGTAATGTTATTTATATAAACGACAAGCTTCTTTTGCTTTTACTTGTGTCTTTAAATTTGCATCGATTTAAAGACGGCTTAGATCTCGTAAATATTAATATTAAATTAAAAAGCTAAGTTATTAAAGAAGTTTTCGGCGTAAGCGTAATCGATTTGTAAAGTTAATACGTGTTCTTTTTAGTTATAATGCTGATACTAAACGTGATCGAAGTAAAAAGCTCTTAAATTAAAAATCGAAGCGTTTTCGAAAAAGTGTATAATAAGCTTTTAAGCGTCGTTAAAGAACCGTACGCCGTTATAAAGTAAGAAAAGCTTATTCTATTATTTAATATCTTTTATTATTAATCGAAGCACTTTGCGCTTAAGAGTTTGCTGTTATTTAAGATTAAAAGACGTAATAAAAGTTTAAAAGCGCCGATAAAAGACGTAGCTAAGCTGGACCGCGAAAGAGCAAAAGGATAGCAATCCCGTAAGTGATTAAGCTTCGCGGAGTATTAAGCTTTTATCGTCGATTGCAATTTAAGTAAAGTAAAGGACGCGCTGCAGCTTTTCTAATAGCACGGAGACCGTAAAAGTGTGTATATCGATTAGTAAGCTAAGTAGATTAACCGTTATGCTTTCTTTTTTTTTCTTTTTGTTCTTAAGAACTCCGTATATCGCTTTTAATTCGTCGTAAGCTCGTTTGAACTTAAAAAGCTAAAGGATTTAAACCGCGAAGATTGCAATTATTATATCGTCGAAGAAATGCTCGATAAACTTAACGCTAAGCTAAGACTGCAATATTTATTACTAAGCTTCGGCTAAGAGATTGTAAATGAAAAAAGAAGTTAATAAGCTAAAAAAAAGTACGTTATTAATATAAAACTTCCTTTTCTATTAAAAGCTTAAATGCTAGCGCTAATAAGCAGCTATAAAGATAGTTCGGAATGCGTCTTTTATATCTTTTTTTAAGAGCATACAATCTCGGCCCGCTTTTAGCATTATTGCTAAAAGCTTTTCGAAAGTGACGTATTATAACGTCGCTGCTTCGTCGAGAATTTAATCGTTTACGAAGTTTTTAAAGTTCTTAAGGTAAAAGAGGTGCTAAATCTTTCGCTAAATATTGTCGTGCTTAAGTGCGAAGCCGAAAGGTGAAACGAGTAAAGGGTCGGTGTCGGATAAGACTTTTTAGATCTTATTTAACGAAAGATTTAAAGCTATTCGATTATTTATGATTTCGAAGTAAAAATCGGCCGTTGCGAAGTTTTTTTAAACTTTGCGGCAAGCAAGCTTAAAATAGCTTGTTAATGCATTATAGCGGAATATTTAAAAGAGAAGTGTTTTTAACTCTTTAAAATAAGGTTGCAAAAAGGCTTAGAAAGCAAGAATGTAATAAAAAGAAGCAAACGAACGAAGCGAAAGCTTTATAGCATTTACGATCTGAAACTTTAAGGTCGTGTTAAAGCGTGTAAGTTGTGACGACCTTAAGCGATTACTTGAAAGAACTCACGAAAGCGCGAGGTTCATATAAGAGCTCAAGAGAATCTCAAAGTAATGACTTAAAATCAACAACTACCGAGTATAAAGGTTGAAGGTAGCTAAGGTCTATATATACGAAAGTAAAAGCGCTAAAGACTCGTAAACTATAGTTCATAAGTTAAAAGCGAAGAATAAAAGAATACGAAAAATACAAAAGAAAAAAGAAAAGAAATAGCTTGGCGCATATAAAGTGCGTCTAAGAGACTTAGCGTGTCGTCATACTACCTTTTCGTTCGAAAAAAGCTCGTTCTCGAGCGTTTATCTATTGCTTTATCACTACTCAAGTGATCGTAGTTATCAATACCGTCCGAATAAGCTTTAATCTAGTCGAAGAGCTTCGCGAGAAGGTCGAAGAGCTCTTTATGTTTTAAATAAAAGTCACGTACCTTAAAAAGAGCGTATATAAAGTCGGAAGCGGAGTATTAAGTAAGGTTAATATCGCGGCCGAGCTAAAAAGCGCAATACTTAAAGTGCTTTTTAATTTAGCGTACGATTAAAATGTTCTTTACTTCGTACTTAAGTTCGCTAGTAATATTAATCGAGTCAAGTTTAAGAATAATTTGCTTAAAAGTAAAGTTATTAAAAGCTTTTCGTAATCGTCCGAAGTAAAAGACTAAATAAACTTTTATTAACTTGATAAGCTTGAGTTTGAAGTTGCTATAAACGTTATCAATAACTTCGAACGGTCCGTTCGTTAAGTTATCGAGCTTTTTTAACGATCGAAAAATAAAGAACAAGCGCATATCTAACTAAACTTTATCATTAACGTCGAAGTCAACCGAGCGCTTTAATTTATTAGCTTGCTTAGCTATACAATCTTAAGCGCGTTAAAAGTGCTCTTTAGCGAGGTTTTAAGCTTCGAAGTAACGGTTAGCGTAAGCGCAAGCTTCGTCTTAATTGAGCTTACGAAAAAGGGTTTGGTCGTCAAGTCGTTTTAAGCTTTAATTTTAAGTAGTCCGGAAGGCGTAGCCGTAGATTACTTTAAAAAGAGAAAGATCGCCGAAAAAGTCGTAAAAGAGCGTTAATTAAGCGAAGTCTATCATAAAAAAGAACTTACTTTAATCGTCTTAATAATAGCTTACGAAAAGACGAAAGCGCTTTTGCAAGTACTAATTGTAGATTTCGATTTGACCGTTAGTTTCAAAGTGTACGGCGGTATTAAAAGTCAGTTTAATACCGAAGATCTTATTGAATTCTTTTTAGAATTCGGACTAATATTAAAGTCCTTTATCAAAAGTCAGCGTTAAAAGAGCTTTAAAATACTTATAGATATAATAGATATAAAGCTTAGCGAAGC